TGTGAGCTTACAAAGAGTCAGTTGGTAGTAGAGTTGTGTCCTGGTTTGTCTTTTTTAAGTAGATCTGGCACATTTTGTATTTGGAATGAGGTGCTTTATCTTTTAAGATTCCCATTGTACAATCCTTTCTTCCAACAGATCTTGTAACTTTGCTTCAAATGAACCTAGAGATTTCTCTGTGTAACCTTCTGTGCGTCTGCCTGACTGACCTGCTGGAATGGCCTTTTGGCCACTTGCAGGCCTTCTAGGTGTGCCCTGGGCTCTGAGCCGGGTGGGCAGGCTCTCCCCCGTCAGGCGCATTCCTGCTGCTGTCCTTTGCCTCTCTGGATGGGGTGTCGGCACGGGCAACCGTGTCCAGCTTCGGAGGAGAGCTTCGTGTTTCTGTTGTGCAGCACTGGCTGGGAGCCAACTTGTTTGCAAACTGAGGACAGGTGAGCTCTCATCTGAGGCCGGTGGTTGCATGGATGAAACCAAGTGACTGAGCGTTCCCTTTGGTAGCATGCTGCTGGGAGCACGTGAGCTATAGAGACCATGTGGAAGGTTGTAGGGGCATGTTGTCCACCGACCATCCTCCCTACTCCCAGACCACATCTGTCACTTCACTGCCCCACCGTGGAAAAAAAGCACCATTTTGTTGATTTCATTTCATACCACCAATTTTGGGTTAAACACTTAAGAGGGGTCTTTAAGGTGCTCTGATGACAAAGTGGTTAAGGCATTCGGCTGCTAGCCAAAAGATCAGCAGTTCGAACCTACCCAGCCTCTCCCAGGGAGAATGATGAGGCAGTCTGCTTCCAGGAAGACTGACAGCCTTGGAGACCCTGTGGGGCAGTTCCACTCTGTCCTCCAGGAGTGCTGTGAGTTGGAATCCACTCCACGGCAGTGGGTTTGAGGGGTCTTTATAGATGTTTTGGAGCTCTGGTGGTGTAGTGGTTAAGGCATTTGGCTGCTAACCAAAAGCTGGTGGTTTGAACCCACCAGCTGATCCTTGGAAGAAAGGTGAGGCAGCCATAAAGATTCACAGCTTTGGAAAGCCAGTGGGATTGCTCTGAGTGGGAATCGACGCAGTGGCAGTGGGTTTGGGTTTTGTTTTCGTAGATGCTAACTTGGCAGCTTATTTTTCACTAGGATGCATCAGTCTTTTAAAGTGAAGGTCACATTTGGGGAAAAGCTGTGCCTGCCTGTCACCCTTCCTGTGCCTTGTCCATCTCAGGAAAGCCCCTGGAGGTGGCCTGTCGGCTCCCAGTGTCTGCGTGGATGCTGGGCACTGTCCATATGACACCGCAGCACTGTAGGGCAGGGGGCAGGGGGGCAGCCAGCAAAGACTTCAGGCCCCTGGGCTGGGCCAAGAGCCTCAAGCTCTCTCAGGGAGGATCTGGATGTGGACTGGGACCCACGTTTGGAAGGTTTGAGGGCTGTCAGGGTGCACCTTCCTGGAGCTTAGAGCTTCCTCACCCCCAGCCCTTGCCCCTCGGGGGGGTCAGGGTTCAGAGCTGCTGTGGGTCTCCTGCCATTTGCGCTCTGATGTGCCACGCTGGCTGTAAACTGGGCCTGGTCCAAGCTGTGGAGGTCAGTCTGAGCCTCTGGTGTCAGGCTTCAAGCCCGTGCCCCCACTGTGGCACTCCCATGCAGTGGTGCTGAACTGTGAGGGTCTGGCTGAGGCGTACAGAGCAGGAGGCAGCCCCTGGATGTACCGTCCTGCCATGGGCCCCCAGCTCTGCAGAGTGTCAGAGAGCTTGCTTATCTCACTCACTCAGATAAATACCTCTCAACATCCTGTTTTTCTTGTGTCACACGGGCAGGAAGCGAGTGATTGTTTGAGATGTGCGTCAGTGTGGCCTGCGAGGCAGGGGTGCGGCCTCCCCGCTCAGCTGTCTGTCGGACCGCCCTTGCCCACGCCCACCCCTACCTATGCACCTGCCAAGACTTGGGCTTTCCAGGGCTTTACCCTTTGGGTCCTGTGGGACCATGTCGGGGATGGGACCAGACCCAGGGCCGTCAGGCAGCTGTCATGATGGAGCGTCCCTCACACACGTGTACAGGTGCCAACAAGGACAGGGTCTGTCCCCTGGAGCTCGCAGCATCGTCAGGGGCCACACTAAATGAACTAGCCCCAGTGAAATGCCCATCATGTCGATGCCAGGAGGCGGGATGGGTGCTGTGGCAGGGGAGTGGGTACACACGGATGCACACACACACACACACACACACACACACCCCGTTGCTGTTAGTGTGGGGTCTCTCTGTGCCTGGCAGCATTGACTCTGCGGTATTGACGGTGTGTGTGGGCAGCGGAGTGGCGGGGCGGTGCAGATACACATGGACACATGCACACCCCATTGACTCTACAGTAGTGATGGTGGCCTTTACTGCATTTCACATTTTTCTTGGTGTTTATGGTTTTTTGCATGAATGTCTTCTGTTAGCTCTCTCCAAAGGATTTGGATTTTTTTGTATCTCACTGATTTTATTTTTCTGCTTGTTTCTTTTGGTTGCTAGTTTATAGGAAACCATGTTGGAAACACACTGGTCTTGACATGAGTGTCTGTAGGCGGCCTGGTTGGTCTCTTGGTCCTGCCTTTCTGCACAGTCATTCTAATGGCCAGTGAGTGGTCATGTTCTTTTTCCTTTGCGGGTTTTATACTTTTCCTTTTTGTATGTGCCCTGCTGCACAGATCAGGGCCTGGGACAGAATGGGATGCAAGTCATGGATGTCCTTGTGAGGGTGTGTCCCCAGGGAGCACCTTGGGCACCCGGTCTTGTGTTTGTGGGAGGCATTTTGCAGATACTCCTATCTGATTAGGGACATTCCCTTCCATCCCTAATGTGCTGGGTTCCTTTTTTGAGTCAGGAGCAGAATCTAAGTGGACAGCACGGATCCGTGGCAAGGATGGGGTGGTTTTCTTCCTTTATCCTGTGGTGGCTGAGTTGCTCTGATAGACTTTCAGGTGGCAAATCCATTTCTGGAACAAATCCAGCTTGTGACTCACTCTCCTTCATGTGTACACTTTGGGACCTGGCCACTGGATCTGACCCAGATCAAGCCCATGTCCACACTGGGGCTTGGCTACTACTGGGCTGACCTGGATCGGGCCCATGTCCATGCTGGGGGCCAGATCTTAGGGTCTTACCAAGATCAGGCGCATGTCCACACTGTGGGGCCTGGCTGCTGGATCTGACCTGGATCAGGCTCATGTCCACACTGTGGGGCCAGATTTTGGGGTCTTCCCAGTCTCTAGTGCTGCTGTACCAGAAACACCACCGGTGGATGGCTTTAATAATCAGATCTGTTCTCACAGTTCAGGAGGCTGGAATTCAGGGTGCTGGCTCTAGGGAAAGCTTTCTCTCTCTGCTGGCTCTGGGGAAGGCTCTCTCTCTGCCAGCCCCAAGGGAGGCTCTCTCTCTGCCGGCTCTGGGGAAAGCTCGCTCTCTCTCCCTCTCTCTCTCTCTCTCTCTCTCTCTCTTGCCGGCTCCGGGGAAGGCTCTCTCTCTCTGCTGGCTCTGAGGGAGGCTCTCTATCTCTGCCGGCTCTGGGGAAGGCTCTCTCTCTCTCGGCCAGCTCTGAGGGAGGGCTCTCTCTCTCTGCCGGCTCCTGGGGAAGGAAGGGCCTTGGCAGTCACTGACCTGCATCATTGCCTTGTTTGTGCTGTTGCTAAATGTGTTCTTTTATGTCTCCAAAGAGACTGAGTTAAAGCACACCCTATGATAATCCTGCCTCATTAACCTGACAAAGAAAACCCACTCCCAAATGGGGTCTTAATCCCAGGGTTAGGGTTTGCAGCATGGTTTTGGGGTACACAGTTCAGTTTATAACACGGGGATCCAGCTGTGGATCCCAGCGAGCCTGGCTCCCTCAGTCAGGTTGTCTGACAGTCTCTCTGGCCTCAAGAGAGGCATTAGGGCATCTCTCCTTTTTGTCCCAGCAGGTGGCTTTTGTCCCCTCAATTCCTAGGTAGAGTTTGTTGTGGAAGGCCCTGGGCTCCTGTCTCCCCCAGTTTGACTTGGAGTGTGAAGAGCGCATGTTAGTAACCCCCAACATGTATGGTCGTGGTTGATCCTGCCCCCACCATGTGGAGTGTGGTGGTTGGGGTCCTGCCTTGACCTCAATCCTATCCCTGACCCCTACTGTGTGGGGCTGTGGTCACATTCTGGGTGGACAGATAGGTGGGAAGAAAGCAATGAGGTCATAGTGAGAGCTGAGTCCCCGCCCAGATGCTGAGAGAGGTCACCATCTCTCCTTGGCTTTGACGCTGGATGCTGGCCACGGGCCCCACCCTTTCCCAACATGCAGGTTCTGACTCCTCCTCCCTGGGCCCAGTGTCCCAACAGATTCACGCTAGGGTGCCCCCAAGACACGTGTAGCAAGCCAGCCAGACAGCACTATCCTAAGTCCCCCCATCTCATGGGCCCCCTCCATGATGAGCGGGGGCTGCTCTTGGTCCACCTGCAGCTGAGGTGGCACATCAGGTAGGCAAGAGAGAGCACGACAAATCCAGGGGACCGTGGTGGAGCTCCAGGAGGCAGCCACATGACTGTGATGGTCACAGAGGTTTTGGGAATTGGCTGGCTTTCGTGGGGTGTGGCAGAAGCCAAAGCCTGGTTGGGAGCAAGAGCAAGAGGAGGAGAAGTGGGCAGGCATGTGTTGGGCAGTGGTGGAGTGGATGTGCTGTGACTCGATACAGACTCTCATAGGTAGCCTGGTCATTGCTGGGTTCGCTCTGGGTGACTCCGTGTCCCCTCCATGCTCTGGAAGCTACAAGCCACTGCAGCTGAAAAGAGAGGCCAGGGCCACTGGACTGTGGGTGGAGCCTGCCCAGAGAGCACTGGGGCCAGAGCAGGCTGCTGGCCACAGGGAAAGCCATCAGTACAAGAGGCTGGGGGATTGAGGGCATGGGCACTGTCACGTTGGCCAGAGCAGGTTGCTGGGAGGAGGCCAGTGGGACAGGCTTCCCAGAGCTGTGAGATGGCACCTCACCCTCTCTACCTTCTGCCCCTCACAGGTTGGAACCCACTCTTGCTCCTGAAGGCACTGCAGGCACAGTGGCCCACAAAAGCACTGCAGCAGGTGAGCTGGGGTGTGGCCCAGTGGCCTCTAATGTGATGATCACCACTCTCGAAGGTGGCCTGGTCATTGCTGGGCTTGCTCTGGGTGACTCTGCATCCCCTCCTTGCTCTGAAAGCTGTGAGCTATTGCAGCTGAAAGGAGAGGCCAGGGCCGCTGGACTAGCCTGAGTGGTTGGAGCCTGCCCAGAGAATGCTGGGGCCAGAGCAGGCCACTGGCTATAGGGATAGCCATTGGCACTGTTGTCAAAGCTGTCATATGACTTCCCTGTCTGACAAGAGGCTGATGGGTGTGGTCTCAGGACGCATGCACATGCAAGGTGGTGGGGCTCTCATTACCAGGGGCGCCCTTGTACCAGGACTGTCAGGCTCTCGTAGAAACGGCTCCATGGCCCCTGCACGTGCCTGTGCCCAGAGCTGCCTCACCACTCCATCTGCTCTGTCCACTTGGGTCGGGGTGGTGGGCAGCCCTCCCTTCAGCTGGTTCGTTTCCCCTTGGAAATGTCATCCTCCTTCCTTCAGGTTGTCTCTCTTGTCTGTTTCCAAGCTCCCTGGGCCAGTGCTGAGAGGGGTGCTCAGGCTTCCTTCTCTAACATGGGAGGGGCCCTGCAAGTACTGCTTGCACCAGATGTCACGAGTCTGGAGATGGGGACTTGTGCCATTTTTGTTCTCTTTCCCAATTTTCCTCTTGATGGCTCCTTTGACCAGTGTGGTATTTTCTTCCAAACAAATGCAGGATGTCTTTTCATTCTTGTTTTAGGCTGGGCTCTCCAGAGAAACAAAACCAGTAAAGCTTTGAGGGAGAGAGAGAGATTTGTCTCAGGGCAATGGCTCACACAGTTGTAGAGACTAGCAAGTCCTAAGTTGGTGGGTCAGACATCAAGCTGGAGGCTTCTCCTGACTCTCACAGCTGCAGGGGCTGATGAGCCCAAGGTCGGCAAGCAGTTTAGCAGGCTGCTGACCTCATCGGATGATGAACCCAAGGTTGGCAGGTAAAATGGCAGATTGCTGGCACACAGACTTCATAGGCAACTCTTCCCCAATCGGAGGCAGTGCAGAAGGCCACTGGTTCCCAAACCAGGTGATGATGACCTGGACGCAGCCTCCAGGTCCAACAGGGCCCCAGGATTTTCCCAGGACGTCCATCGCGATGGGTGAGAAGCAGGCCACGCCCCTGAGGCAACTCTCAGCTGCTTGGCTGCTCAGACCACATCCCGCATGGAGGTGCCTACCTTCTAGCTCAGAGCACATCCCGCATGGAGGTGCCTACCTTCTAGCTCAGAGCACATCCCGCATGGAGGTG